CACTCCTCCCCAACACACACATACACAACACACACACACACACACACACACACACACACACGCAATCATAATTAGCCCACTATTCAGGAACAACCACTTTCAGCTTTTTTTTTTTTTTTTTTTTTTTTGCGGTATGCGGGCCTCTCACTGTTGTGGCCTCTCCCATTGCAGAACACAGGCTCCGGACGCGCAGGCTCAGCGGCCACGGCTCACGGGCCCAGCTGCTCTGCGGCACGTGGGATCTTCCCGGACCAGGGCACGAACCCGTGTCCCCTGGATCGGCAGGCGGACTCTCAACCACTGCGCCACCAGGGAAGCCCAATTTCAGCTTCTTTTTCTGGTATTTACACCCATATTTCAAGTAACAAGTATACATTGTTATTTTTAATTTATCAGTTTCAAATATCTACTGATTTTTTATGATGAGGATTTTTAGCTCATGTACATTCTCTTTTCCTCCCTCCATCATTCCATTATAAGTATACATCAATTCTTGATTAAATCCATATTAAGAGTTTACATTATTATTACTATTTAAAAATTATTCACTGCTGAGGCAAGGAGTATGCTATAAATATGTTTCCTTTCCTAAAATATGTATTTTTTTCATACAGTCCATAATTAAACCATTTTTTCACTTATGCAATTTTCTGTAATCACTTACCTCTTCCTCTACCCTTTAACAACTCTGAAAAGACCCTCCACAATACAATTTTGCATGTGGTTAAACCTGTCAGATCATCTTTACTTTTGGTGTTTTTCTTGCAGGCACGCATCCTGGAACCCTCCAACCTCCTGCTCCAAACTGGAATCGCTCTGCTCTGGTCCTGTTGCACAAACTTTGTCCTGGAACCTCTCTTCACTGTCATTTTGGAAATTGTTCTTCTCTTAGGCTGGAATCCCATTTCCTGGATCCTCTGTTTTGCTCTTTTTGTTTCTGATCTTGTTTTGGAGCATTTCTGCCAATAGTTCCCTTAATAAGAGTAAATATTTGAGATCACATACATCTGAAAATGTCTACTTCAAATTCTCATTTGATTGACTGTTGGTTACATACAGAATTCTAGGCTTGAATTCATTCAGATTTTTAAAGGCTTTACTTAAAAATCTTCTGGCTTCCAGTCTTCCTGCTGAGCGGTCAGATGCTTGAAACTTTATATATACTCTGTTTTTCTTCCATAAAAAGTTTTTAGTCTTCTCCTATTCAGGTGCCTTGGGTCTTTTTTCATTCACAGCATTGGGTACTGGGTGGGCCTTTTCACAATGAAGATTCCTGTCTTTCCGTTCTTAAAATTTTAAATAATTCCTTTACCTCTGTTTTCTCTTTCTAGGACTCCTATTGGTCAGGTGTTAGCCCTTCTGGATCGATCCTCTAATTTAAAAAAAATACCTTTTCCTTTTTATTTTTCATCTCTTTGGCTTTTTTGCTTTTGCTCTGTTTTCTGATAGACATTTCCTGGGCTTTCTACTGATTTTTTTTTTTTTTTGGCATACCATATTTTTGAGTCCTATAAGCTCTTTTTTCATTTTCTAATGTTTTGTTTTGTTGTTTTAATGAAATTCTATTCTTGTTTAATGAGTAATATCTTCTCTCTGAGAATATTAATGTTTGCTTTACATCTTCTATTGGGGAGAAATGGTTAACAACAGGCTAACCTTTTTGTCCATTTGAAGATAACCTTGGGTTTACCTTCTCTCAGCACTGTTGACCTGAAAATGTACTGGATCACACAAAAAAACTGTGGAGAGGAAAGCCAGCTATATTACTAAGCAATATAATTTACTGAAAAAATATGACCCTTGTCTGGTAAATTATATCTGAAATGGAGGACTGTAAGTGGACTATAAAAATATAATGGAAAACACAGGCCTTAGCTACCTGGTGTGCCTCTTGAGAGGACCTGGAAGCTATGGTCATGTGCATTATAAGAAATAGTTCCTATCACATATGAGACTTTCCTATGCTGTGCCTATGTAGCCTTGGCACTTCAAATTGCATGCACTCCTTGTAGGGCTAGGAAGTAGCATCTAGGTTGGCTGCAAGGACTTCCAACAAAGATCTACGTGATATACTGACACGCGTGATATCATCTACGTGATATACTGACATATTTCTGTCCTGTATCATTTTGCAAATCTAAATGAACCTCGCACCAGGTTTTGGCCTATTGTATCTTGTGAGTGTAGATGTAAATTCAAGCCTGAAATAACTATTGGTGGTCATAATAAGCACTCATTCCCTAAATTGGCTATTTCTTCTTCTTCTTTTTTTGTTTGTTTATTTGTTTAAGTTTTGACCTATGCCTTTAAAATTGGAAGATTTCAAGTATCTGGAGATCCTAGGCTGGTCAGTTACATTTAGGGTTGAGGCAATTAACGACTGACTGGAAGCTCTGTCTGCAAGAACTGGGCAGAGTGTGGTGGACTTCACTGTGAAGCAATTATAGCCAGCCAGCTATTTTTCTTTTCTTTTTTTCCCCGCCCCTGGTAAGGGTTCTCCAAATCTCTGTTAGCCTTTTCTCTGGCATTCTAAAGTTGGTGGAGGGTGAAGAAGGAGAGACTGGGCAGGCATAGTGGTAGTGGTAGGGGACAAGGGTATTAGTTCACGATTCGGTCAACTTTCACTTAATTCCTCTGTTTTCAATACCGTGCCTCATTCCTGTTCAGCTCTATGTCTGAGGTCACTGAGTTTATAGCCTTTCTGATTCTGTTTCTGTAGTGATTAACACACCTCTGGTCTTCTGTGAGGGAGGAGGAGTCACCGGAATATGCAGGATGAGAAGAGTCCGGGGGTCTTAACCCTTCCTGATACAGACTTTTACACAATCTCCACTTTCAGCCCTATGTCTCCTCAGAGACTCTATAACATGTGGTATCTCCAATTCTTGATCCTTTCCAAAGTTCAAGGGAGAAAAATCATCTGGCTTTTTGTATCAGTCAGAGTCCCGTCAAGAAATAGAAACCATACCAGAAATGTGAACAGGGAAAAACAGAATTAGCAAATGCAGAAAGGAACTATGACTTCTAAGCAGGAGGGTGAACCAAGAAGGAACTAAGAACTCAGGAAAGGGTCCCCCAGTGCCCTCAAGACTGAGATTCAGACTTTTAAGGAGAGGGTATGCCTGCCACAGGAATGTGCAGACCAGAGGTGAAGAAAAACCTTGCCAGAGAGTACAGGCTGGAGCTGGTTGACTGAGGGCTGCCAAGGTGAGTGCTACTGGGTCTTCTGTTTGCTGATCTGCTGGCTTCTGTACATGGAAAGCCCCTTTCTCCTGCTGTTGTCTTGCAATGTCTTTCCAGAATCCTCTGTTGACAAAGTCTAACATCAAGCTAGTTTGCAAAAAAGAAATGTTTATAAGGTCCAGCTCCAGTATAATAAAACAGAGCAAAAAAGGCAGATTTGCAAAACTACAATGAAGTATCATTTCACACTGGTCAGAATGGTCATCATCAAAAAGTCTATAAATAATAAATGTTGGAGAGGGTGTGGAGAAAAGGGAACCCTCCTACACTGTTGGTAGGAATGTAAATTGGTACACCTGTTGTGGAAAACAGTATGGAGGTTCCTTAAAAAACTAAGAATAGAGTTACCATATGATCTAGCAATCCCACTCCTGGGCATATATCAGGAAAAGACAAAAACTCTAATTTGAAAATATATTTGCATTCCAATGTTCATAGCAGCACTATTTATAATAGTCAAGATATGGAAGCAACCTAAGTGACCATCAACAGATGAATATATAAAGAAGATGTGGTATATATATATAATGGAATATTGCTTACCATAAAAAAGAATGAAATATTACCATTTGCAGCAATATAGATGGATCTAGAGATTATCATACTAAGTGAAGTAAGCCAAAGACAAATATTATATGATATCACTTATACGTGGGATCTAAAAAAGTAATACAAATGAATTTATTTACAAAACAGAAACAGACTCACAGACCTAGAAAACAAACTTATGGTTACCAAAGGGGGATAAATTAGGAGTATGGGATTAACAGATATACACTACTATATATAAAATAGATAAACAACAAGGATTTACCCTATAGCACAGGGAACTATATTCAGTATCTTGTAATAACCTATAATGGAAAAAAATCTGAAAAAGAATATGTGTGTGTGTATAACTGAGTCACTTTGCTGTACCCCTGAAACTAATACAATATTGTAAATCAACTATACTTCAATTTTTAAAAAAGGTAGATTTGGAGCTGAAAGATAATAAATTGATTACTGTCACACTTGTCATCCATACCTCCCACCTTTTAGAGGCATTAAGGCTTGACCATCTTCATGTTTGCGTCATTCTTCATTCTCCCATCAGCTCTCTATCTTAATACTTTAAAGCTTAGAGTTACAAGTTGTTTCTTACTTTCACCAAAGACAGTATTTACATTTCTGCGCTCCTTATCGTTTTTGGGGTAATTAACAAAAGAAGGAGTGATGGTAATTTCTTAACTCCTTTATCAGGAAATCTTCCCACCTTTCTATAATTACTCTATTTTTAAACTAACGACCTTATCAAATTGTGACAGTCTCCAGAGCAAAGACAGCCTTTAACTCATCTTATGTTCTTTTATCTCCCTCAGTGTCTCACCGTGTCATGAGCTTAATAAAGGTTGGGTGAATTAAATGAAATGTACATTCTTTAAAAAAAATTTTTATAAAATTCATAATTTGTTTCAATCAGTTTTACAGCTATACATCAGGCAATTTCCAACAACCTGTCTTATAAATCTATGCTGTTTATTAAAATAAGAAATAAGCAAAAGCATTTATAGGTCAAGGAAAGCTCATCTTTAATCCTACTAGCAAAGCAACTCACTCTCTATACAACATACTTACAATAAAAAAGAAACTTTTCATTTTATTCATTTATTTAATGAGCAGATTGTCCTACTGCTTTAGATATATGCTGCACTAAAATATACTTCTAATAGTTGCCTCTAAAATATGTTAATTTATTTTTAAATGCCTATACTTACCAATTCAGGGATGTCTTTTACTTTGAGAGGAACTTGGATTAAACCCAAATGAGTCCTGAAACTATGAGAATCACCATTTTCATAATTTGGGTTGCGAAGATTAATTAAAACCTTTAAAAACAAATCCAACATAATTGGTTAGTTTCTTTATTGACTATTTACATTTACAAAATTGGTAGTAATAACCTTAGTATATATCACAAGATTAAAAACTATCTGGGTTATGCATATACTTTAATTACATTCTGAAAACTAAAATTGTATTAAAATGTTAAAATACTATAAATATGTTTTTAATTTAATATTCCAACAGATGATCTACCATATAAAACTAAAAAATTAAAAATTTAGTTAGAAAGAAAAACTTTCTGATGGTAAAAAGAATTGTTTGATTATATTTTACCAGGGAAAATGACAGAAAAATTTAAATTGCTTGATTGTAATATTTGCCAGGAAAAATTTTAGAACCAACTCTAACTCTTTTAAAAAACAGATACTGACAAGGTTTATAGAAAGACAGTGAATAACATCATAAGGTTTTGCCGATAAACCAAACCCAAAGGGAAAAAAAATTTTTCAGAGGCCAAGCTAACAAGAAAGATGGATTTATATATTTTTCAAAATTAACTAGATTAAAAAAAAAACTTAGATATTTGCACAGCCTTTACTCTAGAAATCTCACTTCTATCAGTATGATTATGGAAATAATTAAAGCTGTTTGCAGAGACAGTGCAGAAAAAAACATCAAGGAAGTACTGTTCTCTTATAAAACAGAAAAACATGAGACAACTTAAATATTCCATTAGAGGAAATTACCTAAATAAATTATGTTTAATTTGTACAAAATACAGTGTAATATGCCTCAATTAATATCACAATATGTTTATTAAATTAAAAAGTTACAGTATAGTAGTATTTATTGCTGTATGATGGCATTATGAGTAATTTCTGTTTTAAATTTTCTTCTTACATATATTTTCTTATTTTTCTAACAACACACATTTTGGGGAGAGAATAATAATAATTTCAAAAATATTTAAAAATTGAAACTGTTGAGGGAAAGAAACCACCAAGAATCCAAGGAAGGAGATTATAATGACAGAAACACTATCATATCTGAAGAAGGCATTCATAAACTGATAACTAATGGCTGATAAAATGGAATATGCTATAAGGCCAGAAGAGTTTCCTAAAATTGCAAACACTAAATTGAAACTAAAAATATCAAAGGTATTTGTTTAAAAAAAAAGAAAAAAGAAGATTTAGCAAAGAATCAACAGTGTTAAATACAGACTAATATAGAATAACACAATTTTAGTCTAATTACACAAATAAGGCATCATACTTGCATGGGAAACTCAAAAACACAGAATTGAAAAGAAAAAGAAACTATGAATATGTGGGCAATAGAAAAGAGAAAATATTAGAAAAGCAGAAACTATAACTAAGGGAATGATTATAGAAAATTTGCTTGAGTTAAAGAAGAATCTCAGCATGACTAATAAAAGGATCAATTCAGCAACAGTCCTGAAGGCCACAGAACACTATGATTATTAAGGAGAAAACAGTTAAAGACAACCATAAAAAAATTACATGAAATTTAAGTGCTAGAAAAGGAAAGAGTTTGGGAGAAATCTTTAATAAGCTAAGAGAAATAACGCTAGCACCATAAAGGCAGTTTCAAACCAAAGTAATTTTTCTTTAAAGTTAAAAAGATACTGCTTACAATTCTAAAAGGCCTGAAATAATTTCTAACAATGTTCTATGCTGGCAAACTGGTATCAGAGACAACAGGTTCAGAAAAGAAAAAATAAATAAAATGTGAAAGATTCAATCATTCGTTTACTCATTCACTCAACACGTTTACTGAGCCATGATGTGCTAAGCACTGTTCAACCTGTTGGAGAGAGAACAGTTAAAGACAGGATCAGCTTGCAGCTGCAGCTGGTTTATGGTAGCTCTATCTTATCTTCAGGGTTACCTGGACATCTAGTAGCAACCCTTGGCCAAGAAGGGGTAAAATGCACTAACTAGTCATTTATAATGTGCTATTTAATGTCCCCTGGAGGAACTCCATATCAGTTTATTTACATTGTTTATTGAAAATGTACAGATTGCTGGTTTACATCTGAATTACCAGTGGGGTATAAAAGACCCCTCAGAAAACTTGTGCCTTGACTCCCAAGACCGAAGTATCTTGCATGTACCTTGGAGATTCATAACCCAAAAAGTGCATCCTGTGCAACTGAGAAAGGGGCCTGGGAGATGTGTCTGGAAATTCCCATCTCTTTGTATTTGCATGTATTTTCTTTCTCTTGCTGAAAGAAAGCCTTATGTGGGTGTATCCTTGTGGGTGAAGTCTTGTTGAGCCTTTTCAATTATCTGACTTGACTCTGTAATTGTTGCAGCAGTGAACAAAACTTCCGTCTAATAGGATAAGGCAGGCAATAAGCCAAATAGAAAAATAGTATGTTATATAATGCTAAATGCTATGGAGAAAAACAAAGTAGGAAAGGGCTATAAGGAGTTCCAACCAGGGGAGCCAGGGAAAAGTTTGCTAAGAAGGCAACATTTTTTTGTGTGTGTATGTGTTTGAATTTTTTCCATGAATATTTTTTTAACTGAAATAAAAAATAATTGAAATATAGTTGACGTACAATATTATGTTAGTTTCAGGTGTACTACAAAGTGATTTGACATTTGCATACATTGTGAAATGATCACCACAATAACTCTAGTAACCATCTGTACCCATATTATACCCATATAATACCCAATATTATTGACCATATTCTTTATGTTGAGAATGTGACATTTAAGCAAAGACATAAGGAGTGAGGGGAATGTACACACAAGTATATGGGGGAAAAGCACTGCAGGCAGAGAAAAGAAGGAGCAAAAGGCCCTCACAAATGGGCAGAAGCCAAGGTAAAGCAAGGAGGCTAAAATAGCTGGAGTAGAACAAATCAGGAGAAAAAGTAATAGGAGATGAACTCAGAGAGGTGGTGGGGTAACAGACCAAGCAGGATATTTTAGGCCACTGTCATGACTTTGGTTTTTAAGTAGAAGGAGATAGGAAGCACCTGGATACCAGAAGAGTGGCTTCTTCAGAATTGTACTTACAAGTCTTCCTCTAGAAACTCTGCTAAGAACAAAAGGACAGATTCTAGGTGGGCAGCTTAGAAGCAGAAAGAGCAATTAAGAGGCTACTGAAATAGTCCAGACAAGAGATGGCTGCTTGGACCAGTGAAATAGGAATGATCCCAGTAAGAAGTGGATGGATTCTGGATATACTTCAAAGGTAAAGCTGAAAGGATTTGCTGATGGATTACATGTAAGGTACAAGAAAAAAAGTGTAATCAAAGAGAGGTGAATTAAAATAATTAGTGAGTTGTAACTGCCTACTGAAGAGTTCCACTTGAATGCTCAATATGCCTCTCAAACTTAATTAAGCTCATCATCTTCACTAATGGACCTGTTTCTCCTCCTGTATTCTGTATCTCAAGGGCAAGTTACCTCTGCCCAATTACCCAATCTAGACACTTAAAGGTTATCTTTGGTTTTTTTTTTCCTCATGCTCCTTAGATCTAATCAGTTCCCAAATCTTCCTTAAAATCTCTCAAGTCTGTTGAATTCTTTCCATTTTGAATGCTGTTCTCTTAGTTCAGACCTTTATCATGCCTTGCCTGAACTACTAGAACAAGAAGGAAATAAAAAAGGAAACAATTCACTGAGCAACTATATGTGCCAGGAAGCAGGCTACATGATTTACAGTCACTATTTTTTAATCAAATCTTCCTGATTTGCTTCCCTCTAATTTTTCCACACTCCAATGTATTTTCCAAGAGCAATTTCCAAATATAATCATGTTATTCCACCATTTCAGTGGCTCTGGGGCTTTTTACATGGTGATTCCTCTGCCTGGAGATATTTTTATACCATCATTTCTTTTGCATTTTTACCTCATTAATATATATATATATATATATTTAGCCAATAGAACCTACCTCGAGAAAATCCTTAGGTGCATAAACAGGCCTGAAAAGGCTTAAATCTAGAATTAATAAGATAGATTAAAACAAAATTTCAATTATAACATAAAAATTCTTATTAATAATAAATTTTAATGATTCTTTCATATGTTGCTATGCAGCTAGATTAATTCAAACATTTGCAGAATATCAGTTATTTGTCATACATTGTGTTAAGTATTGGGCCAATAAAAATAAAAAGGTAGTCCCTTCCCTTGACAGCCTAGATGACATACTCTAGAAGAAATAAAGAGTCCCCCCTTTGATAAATTTGTAATAGATTATTTGTAGTTGAATTGAAAAACAATGTCAGTATAATATGAAAGTTCTATATGAGAATAGAGAATTCTATATGAGAATTCTCAAAGTACTTAGAATACAAACAATGCATTCTTAGTGAATTCCTGTAGTTGTATTGAACTGTTCTCCCTTTTGAACTTCTATAACACACTGCTCCCTTTATTATGGCACAATTTCTTGCCCAGTACCCACCCCCCTCAACTTTCTTTTAAGAAGGAGTGGTGAGGAATTATGTACATGTCTACCTAAACAATTTTATATATGTATCTGTTTATCATAGTAAATGTTAGAGTTCTCACTCATTATATGTTTATAAAATTGATTGACTCAATTTTAAACATTAAAATGAACCAAAATAAATTCTTAAAAACATTTTAGAAGTATTAAAACTGTTCCACATATACCCTGGTTTCTCTTCAGATCAAATAAATCTCTTGCCTTTTACTAAAGATTTTCGTGGAGAGAAACAAATCTGAGTGTTTAATAAATTTTTTGAGGCCTTGCTTTGGTAGGGCTAGTAAAAAAAACCCAAACTTTTCCACATTTAATCCATCTTTAACATCTCAATGTAATTAAAGTTTGAAAAAGATTTGTCTATGAAATCCACTGAATGATTTAATTTACCCTTTTATAAAAATGTTTTCAAATGCTGCTTTAAAAAAAGATAACTGATTTAAATATCCTCAAAATAATGGAGAACACTGACCAAAGTTAGGAATTTTAAACTGCAAAGTAGACGTTTAAGCAAAAAAAATCAGATGATAGTAAATTAGTGGAGAGGGAAAGTTGCTGTCTTTCCAAAAAAATTGTTAATATTGTTATTTTGGATTCACAATTAAGAAGGCAATTTTTTTTCCCCACTACCACATTTTGAAAAGAGTTTTACATATACCTGGCTCATCAGTTCCCATTTCATTCCATTTATTGAGAAGTTCTTTCTGTTCTCCAACTGGCCTCTAAAAAAGGTAATTTTAAAATTGGTTTTGTTTTGTGAAGTTAAGCAATGAAGATGAAAAATAAGAATCAATACCTTATCTAAAAGCTTAAATAAGCTACCATAACACAAGAAAAAATAATTTCATTACATATGGTTAGCTTCTTAGGGAATTACACTTAAATTACATTATTTAACTATTACATTATACAGTAGTCTCAGTGGCTCAGTTACAATGTGGTGCTAATGAGTCCAAGAATAGAAGGTAAATGATCTGTGCTGGCTAGTAAAATTTCACAAAGAAAAACTGCTCCTCAGCCACATACTACATCTCTTACCCCATCCAGCAATCTGAGAAATGCATTGCAAGGGGGACTGGCCAAGAGAGTGTGACTGTGAATCAGTAGCACCATCTTCCTATATGAAAGACAATATATTATACAATACTACATATTTAGACAGTTTTTCATATAAACTTATCTTTTTTTTTACACCATCCTTCTGGTGCCTTCAGTGACTTGTGCTTGGATATTATCCAAAGTACATTCACTATATCCTGTCCAACAGCAGGAAATAAATAGCAGGTTTGGAGAATGAAGTGAAGAGAAACGTTCTCTCCTACTCATGAGCAGCTATAAAGAATCCAGAATATTTCTCAAGTGGCTTTTCTCTCCTTTTTCACCTCTCCCCTCTCAAAGCCCAGAGTGACAGATAAATGTTGAGTATTAGATCTAAATAGTTCTGCAGAGATGACAAATCATTCAAGTAAGGAGACTAAAGGTAATTAAAACCTTTAAAGTGTATTTATAAGACAAATCTCCAAATCACCTATACTGCAGAGTCTATATTTATTCTCAAGATATAGGTTTATTACAAAAAGCACTACAGCATACATAATAGAAACCTATATAAACTACATCCACATAATTGGCCTTTCACAGATTTTTGTTTCAAAACAAACTGATATACTAGTAATAAAAAAAAGATAGATAAATCTGTCTGACAGTTATTTCATGATACTTCCTAGTACTTGATTCACAAAAAAATACTTAAATGTTAGAAGTACTTTCCATGCTCTGTGGTGACTTAGATGGGTGGGAGGGAGGTCCAAGAGGGAGGGGATATATGTATACATAATAGCTGATTCACTTCGTTGTAAAGCAACTATACTCCAATCAAAAAAAAAAAAAAAGTACCTTTCGTGCCAATGGGATACTCAATTCAGTGCACATACTATTTAAACTCTTCAAAATTCTTTTTTCCCAACTTCCCTGAAACATAAGGAACAATCTATTATTATTTCTGGTTAACAGTACCAAAACTGATTTTAAAACATTAAAGATGTTATGAGCTATATAGAAATGGTGAAGTTGGTTGAGATTGGTTATCTTTATTCATTAGTTTACTCAACAAATATTGATTACTGCCTACTATGTGCCGGATACTATCCTTAGCGCTGTGAAGTAAGCTGTGAGTAACAGAAAGTCTCCGTCCTCATGGAACTGACGTTCTAGTGGAGGATGGGAATGAAGATAGACAAAAAAAATAAATCAACAATCAGATGGTGATAAACATTACAAGGGAAAACAGCAGATAATAAAAAGGTAAGTTAGATTTAAGCATTTTATAAATGTTTGATACTCAGGAATCCCATTAATGACCTAGTAGAATAAAATTTTACAGAAATTGTTATATTATAATTTTTCCAAACATGATATTTTACCCTAAATACTTCATCATGAATTTTCTAAGAATAAGAACTTTCTCCTACATAACCACATTACCATTGTCACACCTAAAAACACTAACAATAATATTTCATATTATCTAATATTTAGTCCATATTCAAAAATTTCCAATTATCCCCAAAAATGTCTTTATATTTTTTAAAATCTTGGATCCATTAAAATTGAATGTATTACATTACATTTGGCTGTTATGTCTCATTTCTTGTAGCTTAATCTAGAGTGCTTTCGTCCTTTTCTTTTTCATACAGACTTTTTTGAGGAGTCCAGACCACTCGTCTCTTATGTATCACAATCTGGATTGGTCTTACTACTTTTTCACAGTATTTATTACATTTTTTGTAAACTTGAAATAATAAGTTAATTTTAATGGTCAGTCATAAATGGATTACCCATATATACCATATTTTAGTAAACTATTCTTTTTAATGCCAAGCTAAAATGCCATAATTTTTGGTCTTTTTATTAAAATATGCCTACAGACCACTTCTGACTCACTAAAACCAAAATAAAATAATGCCAAAGCTCCAAAATTTAACCCAAATGAGGAGAAAAGGAGAGAATTATATATTACATTACCCATAAAGGACAGTTACAACCAGACAATAAAAGCAGAATAATAATAGCTCCATTATGTGATTGTTATAAAGATTAAAGTACTTTGAACAGTGACACAATAATGATAATCATTCAATAATTGATAGCTTTTACTACAGCTATCATTATTCAGAGCTTCTTCTTTAATACACATATTTAAATACATTACTCTCTATCTGGAATAAACCCTCCATGCTCTCCTCCCATCCCAACATACTCATTCCTACATTATCTGAATAAATTTTATTCACCTTCCAGGTCTTTACCTCTATTAAGCCTTCTCTTACCTGGCCCCTCATCCCAGATAATATTCGGTACCTTTGCTTATGGGTTCTCACAGCACCTCTTCCTTCACCTATCATAGCACATATCACACTTTGTCTAGCACATAATAAATTCTCAATAATTGAACAGATTTTACCCTAAGTTATGTTGCAAGCATTTAAAAATAATCTGATACAACTGCCTAAGCAACGAATGAACAGGAAAAAAATCATCTATAGGAGGAATACAGAACTGTGTGAAATGCATGAGGCTTAAACTAAATATGTAGAAATAGGTTTTCAAGAATAAAAGAATACTCTTAATATATTGCATGAAATACTGCCCATACCGTGTGACCCCACCTCCTTCCCACCCTGGGCAGGTAAACCGGCCCCGCCCCAGCTGTGGCCCCTGGCTGCAGAGAAGTCTGAAACGCAGGTGCCCTGCCAGGGCCTGAGTGGCCATCCCCCCCACCGCCAGCAGACCCGGAGCACCCTGTACAGGGGACACAGGTTCGATCCCTGTCCAGGAAGATCCCACAGGCCGCAGAGCAACTAAGCCCGTGCACCACAACTACTGAGCCTGCGCTCTAGAGCCCGTGAGCCACAACTACTGAAGCCCATGCTCCAGGAGCCCATACTCCGCAACGAGAAGCCACTGCAATGAGAAGCCCGCACACCACAACGAAGAGTAGCCCCCGCTCACCACAACTAGAGAAAGCTCACGCGCAGCAACAAAGACCCAATGCAGCCAAATAAATAAATAAAATTAATAAAATTTTTTTAATTGCATGAAATACCCCCAAAACGAATTCCATTTACTGGCTTATTTTCAATTCTTTCTCTTTTCTTTTCTTTTTTTTTTAACTGTAAAAAGTTCTCTTAGATCCAAGACTTAAAATACATTTGGGTACATTATTCATGACCAAACTTTAATTATTGCAATATAACCCACTTCCACCCTCAACATCCTTATCCCCAATTTATCTAGATAAATCTTATTCAACGTTCAGATCTCAGCTTAAAAATAATTTCCTCTAATAAGCCTTCTGTCACTTACTCCCCCAACTCCAGATTGTTGGAGGAGCAGGTATGAGAAAGTTTAATTTAAAAAACTGTTAATTTTAATTCAGCCATTACTATAAAACTAAAATTTGCATAAGATTAAAAAGTCAATCCCTGAATTTGTATTACTTATCCTATTATATAAAGAACTAAATTTCTAACTATTGAATTATGATTCCAAAAATTCTCATTTTCAACCACTAATAAGAGGGCTCTTGAGTTGATAAAAAGAAAATAACTCTAAGATATAAAAACAAAATTAAAGTTACAAGAGACATCAATGTGTGGCTTATACACTGTGCATATTTTCAAGACTGCAATACACTATTTTAATGCAACATAAAACCTACTAAAAACTCAAACATGAAGGCCATTTAAAATAGAATGATACTTTCTGTAATTATACCTTGATAAGATATTCTGAAACATATTTATCTTATCCTTTAAAAAATTATTCTAACAAAAACATCTCTCCAGGTGTTTTCAATAAAGTACAATTTCAAGTGATTAATCATAGTTCTCCTAAATGGATATCCCACTTTACCAAGTATTTCAACTTACCAAATTTAAATTTAATGTTACATGTAATATATAGAGAAACTAGTTAAGAAAAAAGTTACAAAGAAAAGAAATTAGATATTAGAAGAAAGCATTCTGAATGAAAATAATTTAGGAAACAGAGCTATGTGATTTTCATGTGTTTACATGTGTTATTTTATTAATCCTGTGAGATATGTATCATTACCCTCATTTTACAAATGAGGAAACTTTTTAAAAGAGCACCTGAGAGTAGAATGGAAAAGAATATTAAGAACTGAAGCAATGCTGCACAAAGTTTTACTCAATTATTTTTTCTGTGCTCTGCAACTAAAGCAGAAACTTGGAAATGGGGACTTCCCCGGTTGTCCAGTGGTAAAGAATCTGCCTTACAATGCAGGAGATGAGGGTTTGATCCCTGGTTGGGGAACTAAGATCCCACATGTCATGTGGCAACTAAGCCCGCACACCACATCTACTGAGCTCGCCCGCCTCAGCGAGAGAGCCCGCGTGCCACAAACTACAGAGCCCACGCGCTCTGGAGCCTGCGCACCACAACTAGAGAGAAACCCATGCACCACAACAAAGAGCCCATGCACAACAACGAAAGATCCCGCATGCCACAACTAAGATCTGATGCAGCCAAAAAAAAAAAAAAAAAAGGAAACTTGGAAATGATGATCCAGAAGAGAAGAACAACTTAAAACTGAGAGAAGGAAAGAGGAAAAGGATGTTCAATTCAGAAAAAATCAAATTTTTATGGCTAGAAAAGGGGGAAATGAGGTGTAACAGCTGAGTTTTCAAATAATGAAAAGACATAGATTCAACAAATGTTTATTGTGCACCTACTAAACACATGTCACTAAAAGATGAATGAAACAGCATCCCTGTAGTGAGGGTGGGGAGGATAAGACAGAAACAAATATAAGCTGCAAAAAGTTCATAAGGGCTACACCAGTCTATATGTCATAAACCAAAGAAAACATAAAACAATAAGCAAGCAATAGGAAGCCAGGTATATCAAAACTTCTAGTTGACAACAGAACACATACCACTTCCTTGAAAATCCTAAAAATAATGAAAGAAAAGCGACCCCAGTGGTTGGCCACTTCCCTACTCCCTGTTCCATATCTATGGCAAGGTTGGCAGGATTTTTCCAAGGTACGCCTTGCAAGAACTTCAGTCAGATGGTCAGAAGTCATTTCATGGAAGTCTTGGATGGTCAGAGAAATCATTTGCTCAGACATCAGAAATAGTAATAGGATTTCCTGACAATGAGGAGAAATCCAAGATGAAGCAAGCGGCTGCTTTTAAGCTGGGTCATCCTTTAGGTCATCCTCAAGAACTCTAATCTTGAGTAAGTGGTATTCATTCATTCCTTTGTCTCACTGACTAACATGTACTGAATGCTTTCTATCTATAAAGCACAAAGCTCAGGCCAGTGAGTAAATGTTATAAGGAGCATGTAACCATTTAACACAAGCAAGAAACTTTCCAACAAGTAAGAAGACTTAATCAAAATGGGTTAAGTCAGTGAAATTGTGAATTCCCTGTTTCCAGAAGCTCTCCACCAAAAGGAGACGAACTCTAGAGGTTGGACTGGATAAATGTGAAGGTCCACTTTAGCTCCAGTTTTACAGATACTTAATTTTTCTCAGGTCCTATTTCTGGAGGTGAATAAATAAGCTCTAAGTCTCAAAACTAAATGCTCAAAAAAAATCATAGGTATTTCTATGTTATTATTTAAGTAAAAATTTCAGTGTGTACCTAGCACCAAAAAAAAGTAGAAGTAGCAAATAAGTTATTGAAAAACAACAGTGCGTTAAGACAAAATAAGAAGAAAGTAATAGTTTCTACCCCAAAGACTTATAAAATAAAGATCTTTTAAAATGTTGTTTAAAAGGAAAATGAACGGCATTTTACATTTAAAATGTTTAAATAGGAAGACATTACCTTTTACCTAAACCCATATCCTCTCTAAATGAAATTATTGTTGCATTCTAATCAGTTTCCCTAATAATTGGAATCTATGGTATTAACTCAAAGTATTTCAAGAGTTTTATA